CTTCGACCGTGCCCAGCTCCCATTGCTGGCCCCCCAACTCTTAGCGCCCCCCTGGGTTTCCGATCACTGTCAGTGGCAGGGGGCTTCTTCCTGCTTTCCCTTTCGCCTCCCTGCATTGTGCCTACATATGCAAATTAACCTCCATCTTTGTTGTCAGTTAACTGCCATCTGAGTTGGCAGTTAATTTGCATATAGCCCTGATTAGCCAATGAAAAGGGTAGCGTTGTACGCCAATTACCATTTTTCTCTTTTATTAGTGTAGATAGAAATTCAGAACTATTATTATTACCTTTGAATGTTGAGAGGTGAAAAATCTTCTGGTTGGGGACAACCAAGGCTGTGACTGGCTTGGAGAGGGCCATGCAACTACCAGATGGTATAACTAGGAATGAGGTAGAGAGCAGGTGGTTGTGGCATGGTTGTATTTTTACCTGTTTTGTGATTGAGGTATTTGCAACTCTGAAAACTCCTGTTTGCTAAAATGGGTAGAGTGCTGGAATGGATAATTGTGTGATATTTTAAAGATTTAGATGGAAGGCAGGAATGAGAACCTTATCATTTACTATTTAGGTTCTTTTTAAAGTTTCTGCAATGACAATGTAGAAGACAATACTACACTATTGCAAATTATAGAGAGAACAAACTAGGGTCTGTAAAGCTCATGGTTTTTTATTTGTTTGTTTGTTTTTTGGTGTGCAATTAAATTGACTTTTTTAATTAAAATTTTTGTAGAAATTATCCCCTTAGTTTTGGAATGTTTTACATAAAATAATTACTCTGGTTGCAGCAAACCTCTCTAATTATTTAGATAAGCTCTTTAATGTTGTGGGGGAAAATTATATATATAAATTATAATGATCTTCCCTCCCATGGTCCCTTTTCCCAAGTCTCACTAACTCATTTTTTCAGATCACAACTGTCCCATCTTCAGGGGAAGCCTTACCTAACTAGGTCACATATTCTGTAAAAAATCTTCAGAGCATCCTGTATTTCTATTACTTATCACAATTAATTTTTTAAAAATTCTTGAATGTATTTCTTTTACCCTAGGTGGTAAGTTCTATGAGGACAAGGATCATGTTTATCTTCCTTCCTATTCCTTACCAAGTACCCAGTGCAGTATTTCCTAGTACTCAGCACTCAATAATCTATCTATCATCTATCTATCTATCTATCTATCTATCTATCTATCTATCTATCATCTATCTATCATCTATCTATATGCCTAAGTGGCCAGTCAATGGTTGCTATGATGATGCACTGAACACCAGGGGGCAGATGCTCAATGCAGGAGCTGCCCCCTGGTGGTCAGTGCACTCCCACAGCCAACCTCCCGCAGTCCCATCCCCTGGCTGGCCGGCCCTAATAGGCCCCGATCACCTGCCAGGGCCAGCCGTGGGCAAACTACGGCCC